ATCACTCGCTCTTCCTCCTCCATAGTTCCAGGATCCGCCTCCTTCTGTATTCCATGGCTGTGTTGTCCGTGGATGCCAAGTCCGTCTTGCCTCGTTCCTCTCCCCACGTGGAGTGTTATTCAGCATGCCGTTGATGGGTGTTGATTGTAGTAGATTAGGCGCCCTCTCCAGGGGGGTTTCATGTCCGTCCCGTATGGTGTTGTTATTATTTCTGGGACATTCGCTTCCCTCCAGATCAAGTCGTTCTTTATCTTTGGTGATGATGTGTGTTTTGGCTATGTTTGTGGTTCTTCGGTCGTTCACCCAGGCCGTGTGAGCCTTGCTTTCAATCTGGCGCAGGGAGGCAGTCTCGGGATCCAACATCATTCCTACTATCTTCATTATTTCAGGTCTTAGGGATTGGAAGAACATAACTTTTAATATTTTCCCTTCTTCTTGGGCGTTATCCACGTCGCCTGCGTAATACGCTCTCTTGAGGCGTAGGAGATAATCTCGTGGGTCCTCGTCTGCACGCTGAGTCATCAATTTTGCCGCATTCAATCCTTCAGACAGTGTGGAGTATTCCCCGAATCTCTTAACTACTACTCGGCTTAATTGCTTGAAATCGCTCCTGACCCTATTGGGCAGGGAGGTTACCCATGGTCTGGCTGACTCATGCAAGCTTCTTGATAATAGACATGCTTTTTCTGCTGATTTACACAGACCCCGGATCTTAGCCTCCTGTCCTACTGTGGCTATGTGAGTGTGGATATCCCTGTTCTTGTTGTGTGGATCGAAGTAGGGAATTCTCACGAGCGCTTTATCCATTCGTTTGAGGGTTTTACTGTTAAAAGTGTGTTGTTCGTCGTCAGTGGTGTCTGTTCCTGAGGAGTGCTCACTCGAGCTGTCCCTGTCTTCGCTATCACTGCTGTCATGTTTCCCTTGCCTGTGCCGTGGTCTCCCTCTGTCCGAGGATTTGTATCTGTCCCGTGGCTTGTGTCCTTTGTTTTTCCCATGTGGGTCTGGTGAATCGTGCTTGTGGGTTGGTGTGTGTGATCTCCTTGAGCTGTGTCTATGTGGTGAGTGTCTTTGTCCTTGACCTTCATACCGTCTATCACGTGCGTGGTGTCTGCTGGGTGATATGCTGCGTTTACGTTGGTCTCGCATTTTGTGACTGTCAGGATTCCTGTGTCTGTCTTCTGTGGTGCGGGTTGTTTTGCGTTGGTGAGTTTTATGTGTTGCGCGTCTCTCTGGGGAGCTGTCCCTGGTACCCGTGTCATGTCGGTCATGTTTACGTGAGGTGCGTTCCTCTGGTGAGCCGTCTGTGTCTGACTGGTCACTTTTGCGTGCTGTGCGCCTCTCTGGAGAGCTGTGGGTTCTACGTCGGTCGGGCTTGTGTGGAATGTGTCTTCCTAGTGAGCTGTCTCTGTCCTCTGCATCATATCGGTCATTTTTGCGTAGCGTGCGTCTTTCTGGCGAATTGTCTCTGTTCCGCTCATTCCGCCCTGGTTCCGCCCCTTTTGGTGCTATTCGTACTGCGTATCCTGGCAATTTTATTTTGGGTTTTTGTGTCTCTCTAATTTCGAGGTTGTCATCCGCATGTTTTTCCACTTTTATCCCTGTTTCTCCTTCCTTCCTCTTGAATTGCAAGGGGGTCTCTCTGTCAAAATTGCTTTCTTTGGTGGTCATACTTTTTGGGGATTTTGGCCCTGGGCTACGTATGCGTGGCTCGGAGTATGGTAAACTGCTACTCCCGTATGTGTTATGTGTATCAACGTCTGGGGGTTTCACTGGTGCAGCTAGCTCTGATCCTTTCTCTCCCACGAGGGCGCGCAGACGTTCTACCTCCCCCATCAGGGACAGTTTATCCTCTCTTTCTCTTTCAAATTTTTCCGCATTCCATGCCCTTTCCCTGTCTGTCTGTATGAGGAGGTGTGAGTCTAACCTTGCTATTTCCGCAATTTTTACATCACGCTCGGATTTGTTACATTTTATCACGTCCTTAAGAAGTTTTTTCCGATGTTCCTTAATGTCCTCGATATGTGTCCCCTCCCATATGTCTCTCTGTTCTGCCTGCTCTTTAGCAGTCCGGCCAGTACGTTTTAACACAAGTTCACGATATTGTTTTTCCATAGATTCCATCTCTTCCGGGGAGGTCCCCTCTGAGTCAGTGGTATGCGTTGGGGTGTCAGCCTCCGAATGTTGCAGATCCAGTTCCATCTATCTTATGTGGTGTACTTGATAGACTTAAGAGTGTATCTTAATTCTGACATTTCATGTGTCGTGTGAGTTACTCTGGAAATTCCCTTCGGAGCACGTATAAACAATTGTATCACAGGATATGGTCAGTTTGACTCGAGCAAATAATCTTACTTCAACTGTCTTTGTTATACCCTGCTACTCTGGAATTTCCCTTCAGAGTGCGTTTTTTTTGTTTGCTTTACACCCGTTACAGTCACAGGGCAACGTTAGATCATAAAACCTTGGTTAATACAACAGTGATTTGTTCCTTAATTCAAGCATAAACTGTCTGCGAGAGATCCCGGACGACGCGCCCAATATGTTGTATATATAGGTGTTATGAAAATTGATGAAAATAATGAAAATTAAATGAAATTTGAGATTTGCGTAATTATGCGCATAAATTATGCTGATTCGAGAGGTAATCGTATTAATTTATGCGAGTGGGCGTGGTTATGATAATACAGGTCGTTATGGATTATCAGGTCGAGCCTCGGTGACGAGGATTGTGTTATGAATTGGAATGACGCAATTAATCGTATGCAGTGACGCAGGCGTTGTGAGCGTGAATGAGAGAGAGTCGATTCGACTCTGCTCTTTAATTCCGTATTATCGATAAGGATACGATTACTCTCGATTGAACATTACGAATTATGTGTGTTATGGATTATGTGTGGTGATAGTGTGCTTATGATAGGTCCCCAGGATTCAGATCTCATACGCAGAACAATATTATGCAGAATTTCAGGAAGAATCACACACAAACCTTCTGCTTTAATCAATTTTATTTCTAGCTAACTTTAATTTTTGGATAATATAAAAACTCAATCTCTGGATTTTGGAATTTCAACACAGCGTTAACATGATACCATCACGATTGCGTTGTTTCACCTCGATAGCGGCACCTGTGGTTAATTCCCGACGCGTAACGCAATCGATCGGTTGTTGAGAGAGAGATTAAAAACATGCGAACTATTCTATCAAACCTTAACTTTATAATATGCAAACTCGTATGCTTGAATTGTTACACAACACGGCACTTGGTCTTTGATTCGCATCCAATCCTTAATACATTCTGATATGCGAAGTTATTATGCTTGAAATCGTCAGCACAGGACCACGTTGATGTTCGTTCATTGATTCATAACGATTATGAATTTAAAGCGTTCGACTGAAACACTTCTAATTGCCTTATCAACACCACTCGATGGCCGCAATGCTTCGTTACTTGAATTGTCACACAACACAGCATTCGGTCATTGATCATGCGCGGCCCTTAATGCAATTATTGTCACGTTGTTAACAATAGGATGACTGATTATTATGCAACGCTACTCGTTGACAGGGCACTCCAACCCGTATTATTCTTGGAGGCACAAATATGCGTTTCAATTCGTTATTTCATTCGTGGATACCAGCAAGATTATGCAGAAAGACAAATATTAACGAACGACTCAAGTATTTCTAATCAACTTCTCAACGCGACTCAATGGGTGGCGATGTTTCCTTTTGAGATCCTTATCTCGGGCCAATCTTTAATTAATTGTGGCCAGACCCCTGACAGGGAACCGGTTGAACACGCTCTCTATCCCCGCGAGCGGCGCTCCGTGGTGAGGAGTCAAGAATTAATCCTTGTTAATGGGTCAGTTGGTAATTTATGCGGTTAGAAGTACAGCCCCAGCACAATATTACAGAGAAAAATTATGAACACTCTTAAAAACGATGGATTATTCACTCGGTCGTTGCGATGTTTCCACAATGACGGATGGTTCAATGGCTTGAGGTTTTTAGGCTTTGTTAATGACCCGTGTGTGTGTGTTGAATGGTATGAGTGGTGAAAGAGTAGGCCAATGTTCGGAATCGATTCTTTGCGTCAAGCAGACGTCTGGTTTGTCGTGTAGTGGGGGGCAGTGTATCATACGTATCAGTTGATTCTTCTTTCAGTAGTTGGTTCGGACTCGACGGACGTTGGTGAACGAGTAGATGCGTTGTTGTAGCTGAGATGACCGTCTGGTAGACGGCGTTAGAAGCACGCCCGCAGCGGCGCGCTGGTGCTCCATCGTCGGCGGTTGTAGATTGCAGGCTCACGATTCGCTCGTGGTGGCGCTGGCCGCTAACAGCGGCAGCGGGTCGCCAATCGGCGACACTCGCCAATTCGGCGAGTTGTAGAGACGTCTCCGGCGTCGGTGATGGCTGTTCTTCTGCTGAGATGAGTTGAGCGGGTCTTCTGCTGAGATGAGTAGAGATGAGTCTTCTTCTGTTGAGCTGAGTTGAGATGAGTCTTCTTCTGTTGAGCTGCCCCCGAGGGCTGATGAGTTGGCCCCGAGGGCTGATGAGCTGAGTTGGTGCTGAAACGGCTCCTTTTTATGCCAAAAATCTCTCTCCTTCTCGGCTCCCCCTCACGAGGTGGAGCTATCTTTGATCTGATCGTATGTCGGTGGGGGGGTTCGTGTGTCGGTGGTGGGGGGGGGGGTTCGTGTGTCAGTGTGTATGTTTGTGTGTGTGTCATTTATGACATGGTCCTGTTCGGGTCTTTCCTCAAGCCATAAACATCAAGACAACAGACACCTCGATTCATCTTGGTGGCGTCTGGTTGTCTAATCCCTCCACCCAGAGAGAGGGGCGGGTTCCCCCCCCCTTTTCCGTACGCGTTCCGACGCACAAAGAAATGGTTAAGATTTTTTTTAAGTTTAACATTTCACATCACAGTTGGTATCTTATCATACACAGTTATGATCCTGCTTGTGATTCATAGTATTTGATTTATTTCCAAGTGAAGATGCTCTTCCGAGCGTATGCATTTTATCACGTGCTGCAGGGAAAGACAAAGGTGGCCGGGATCTTCCCATCTCTCTATGCTTTGCAAATATCATTTCGACTCCACATTCTACCAGCATAATCCACCCCGTTACCTTGGCTCTTACTTAGTTTATTAATTTTCGTCACTTTGTGCGTTTATAAATGTGTGACAGTTTAACTTAAAGCTCGCTCGCTCTTTTGCTGCCCGTGTGCAGGGTGGGGTGGGGCTGCTACTAAGTTCCGTGTGTGGCAGATGGTCCCCGCGATAACGATCTGGTTGCCCTGGCGTGAAATTCCTCTCTCGCGCTCTTCGGGAGAGACAAAGGTGGTCGGGAGAGACAAAGGTGGTCGGGAGCACCTCTTTATACTTTCGACTTATATTTCTCAAATACCATTTGGTCCCATGTTCGCCAAGACTCGTGTTTGTAACTACGTCCTCCCGACACCTCTCGGTTTTACCGAGGTTCGAATTGTTATGATGGAATTATTATTAAGAAAAATAATTATCATCCTGAGTTTAAGAGGTCCATTTCTTGATTGTTGGAATCCATATCCCTTGGTTCTGTAAGGTTCTATAATGGAATGTCGTGTAAGGTTAACACGTTGTTATTATTAATATTATTTTGCAATTTTCTTTAAAACTTTCTTTGCCTGGTTGCCGTGTGTGGGGTGGGTGTGTCTCCTCATCAAACCCGGCTGGCTTTTCCAGATGGCCCCTTGTGATAAGGTGTAATTCCTGCTTCTCCGCGCTGTGAGAGAGACAAAGGTGGTCGGGGTTGCTTGGAATATTGTTTAAACTCTTTCGCAAGTTTGCTCGTTGTCTCATTCCTTCTCGATAACCTTTGATGTGACTCGGTATTCTTGCTCCAAGCTTTGTTTTAACAGTAAAAGTATTAAAGGTGAAAATCATTTGATAGCGAATTAATCATTGGATAATAATTCACTGATGTGTCTGGTGGCCTGTTCTTAATTGGAGTGAGCGTTAGGCTCGCTACTTTTATCTTATTCTTGTTGTTGCCTTTTAATTTTTTTGTTGTTGTTTTACTGGAAAATAAGGAAAAGAATATGTATACGATTTACCCTGTTGGCGTCTGGTGTCTGCTCTCTTGGTGTTCTGACCTCGGAGGGACCTTTCCTAAGGGGCCCATCAAACTCTTGTTCATCTGGAGATTTTCGCCGATAGCTGTTACATCCTCGCCTTGAGAGTTTATTATTTCTTTATTTCTCTATATGGCCTGTTTATGACCGACATCTGGTTTTTCGTGTTTCTGGCTTACTGGTTTGATTCATTAAAAAATATATATATTGTTTGTCACGAAAGAAAGGAAAAAGAAATCTAGGTGTATGCATCCGTAAATATTCTTATGGATATTAATTGTGGAAAAAGGGCCGTATACAACAGATGGCAAGATACCTTTTTTGGATGTCCTAATTAAAAATAGACCTGATGGTTCAATGAGCCACTCTGTCTACAGGAAAGCTACCCATACGGATGCTTATCTGAAACCGGATTCCCACCACCATCCATCACAGAAGAATTCTCTCATCAAGACTCTGTATCATAGAGCCCAATGCATATCCGACCAGGAACACATAAGCAGTGAACTCAAGCACGTACACCAAGCTCTTAGGGCTAATGGTTACTCCGACTATACAATCCGCAAAGCTATCACTCAAACCATGAAGAAGAACCCTCTTGAGGAGCCTTTCAAAACCATCACTTTACCCTACATTGCTGGGATCACAAAAAAGATCTCCAAAATCTTGAATAAACACAAGATCCAGGTCCGTTTCAACACATTACATAAAATCCGTGATCTGGTTCCGTCTGTAAAAGATGTGATTCCGGACATACAATACCCTGGTGTCTACAAACTAAGTTGCCTCTGTGGTAGTAGTTACATTGGAGAAACCAAACGCCATATCTCGGACCGCATTCGTGAACACAAAGCAGACGAAAAACACGGTAGGACCAACACCTCGGCCATGGGAGATCATTGTTATAATTCAATAGGCTCACATGACATTGACTTTTCCAAGACAGAGGTTCTATGTAAGCCATCTGGCTACCATGAGAGATTCGTTCATGAGGCTATCCACATATACAAGCACAGAGACAATTTCAACCGAGAAGATGGATTCTATCTTAGCAATCATTGGAAAGATTTGATAAATCATTTCAGTTCTTGATTGATTGTTCACGCTTACAGTGGCTTTCAGACAGCATACATTATAAAAAATTTCGTCTCCCCCCTCCTCTTTTAAAAAAAAATAGATGGACTAGTCCTGGGCAAACTGCCAATCGCTGCGCGTGACGCCAACGTTTTTTTAATAAATAAATAAATGTGCCGTTTAAAAATAAATTTATGCAAACCAACACACCTGATGATGACCGTTTGAGTTATGGTCGAAACGTCGTGAGAATTTTTTTATTGTTTTATATATATTTTGTTATTTTGTTGTTTCTCTTCAACGTGACTTTACCGAAAAAACTAAGAATATAAATAAGGTTGTTCCAAAAGTTATCTTTGGGTTTCAAGAAGGGTTGCCATTCCAAGGTGGTGCATTGAATATCAACTGATCCGTGAAGAATATTGCTGCCGTTGAGTTACGTGGATAAGGTCATTTAGAAGCAACTCAGTCGTACGTTTTTTTGTTTTCTTTTCAATGGCACAATCTTGCCAACGAATCCATTAACGCATATTGGTGCCTTTAGGAATAATAATTGTTTGATTGTTTTTCGTATGAATACCGTCACATAATTTTAAGGACTTTATTCATATTTTTCATGTGCTCGTGTTACACCGCATAAGAATTAATTGCTCTGATATCCAAAGTGAAAAAACGTTATAAGAATTGACTTGAAAGTCTATGAATGAATGCGGTACTGTGTGGGCAATTTTCCAGTATACGAATTTGCATATATAAAGTTAAGATTTTTGTTAGAATAGCGTATGCATGTTTTTTTAGCTTCTCTCTCTCTCTCACCAACTGGGCACGCGTTACGCGGGGGAAGGAATCACATGTGCTGTTATCAAAGTGAAACAACACAGTCGTGATGATACTGTGTTGATACTGTGTTGGAATTCCAAGCCGAGAGTTGCATCTTTTAGAGTTAAGGTCTAGTTAGAAAATAAATGGATTAATGCAGAAGTTGTTGTGTGTTCTTTCCTGAAATGTATGCATAAGAACTGTACTCTGCGTTGAAATATGAATCTGGAGACCTAATATAAATACACTAATGCATACTCCGTAAATGTTAAAGCAAGAATAATTGTATTATACCGATCGATAATACGAAGTTAATCCACGAAGCCGAGTTGACTTTGGCATACTTACATCACACTGGCATAATCTCATACGATCAACTGCATGATTCCGATTGATAACCGACCCTCGTCAACGAGGCGGGGCCTAATTATTATAACGGCTCGCATTAGCATAATCACACATACTCGCATAAATTAATACGATTATCTCCTGAATTAGCATAATTTATGCGCAAATTTAATTTAATGTTTCTTATTTTCATCAAATTTTCATAACCCACATATACAACAGTTACCTTGCCTGCTATACAGGAGGTCGTGGGTTCCATCCTGACCCTGACACCCGCTGTATATTGGGTTTTCATGTCTGGATTTTCCTTCCACATTGTCGACACATTTGGACACAAATTGTATGAATTGTCTACTTTTAGTTGACATATTAAGCCACTTCATAATATAGGTTTTTGGGTTAGATTGCGTAAATATATAAATGTGTTGTTAAAACCCGCCACCACCTGACACAGCCAACTTGTAAACAGAACATGCCAATTCGTCACTAGTACAGCACCCCGGTGTGTTGAAGAGCCAAGCCACAACATTTACAAACTGAGTACGACGTTTCGCCAGTAATTGCAACTAGCTTCATCTGTTGCACTCAGTTTGTAAATATTGTCTCTCCAACATACCTGTGTGCTGTACTAGTGACGAATTGGCATGTTCTGTTTACGTGACAACCCTTACTAGTTGGCTGTGTCGGGTGGTGGCGGGTTTTAACGACACATTTATATATTTACGCGATCTAACTCTAAAACCTCTACTATGGATGATATTGGTCGCGAAAGCCTACGTGTTAAAATAAGCCACTTCGTTGAGCTATCATTTGTGGCCTGGTCGCTTTTGAAAAAGAGCTGTATAGCTCAGTGGGCCTTACCGGTGAAAATAGAAATAGTTTAATAGTAAAATAGGTTCTGTGGAGGGGGACCAGGAAAGGGATACTCCTGTCCCTGCAGATCCCTAGCATGGAGGAAACAGTGCACGCCAGCTGTATCCCTCAGGGACTCTCTCTCGCCAAAACAAGGATAAACCCAACAAGGGAGCATGTGTGGTGCCACAGCAACGAAGCAACTTTGCCAGCGCTGCTATCCTCTCGCAACCCACCACGTGAACGCAGACGCACCCCCTCGAAACGCACACATGTGTAGTGATTGTAGCATCACTACTGTGTACACACGTACACGTGTGACGTCACTATGCAGGGGAGCGTCACTACCACACGGGTCTACACACACACATGATGTCATCCCGGCTGAAGGCGGGAATGACGTCAGGGCCGGTTCTGGACTCGGGAGGCCACGCGGGTGGTGTGCGGTCGTGGCACTCTCTGCGACCCCGGCTGGACACGTGACTGCATCCCAGTGGGGGCCGGGGGCCCAGGGGGCACCTCGGGGGGCACGTGGACAGCAGGGGGGCTTCGAGAGGGTTCTCGAAGAGAGGGTTCTCGAAGGGAGGCGTGGCCGGGGTGGGGCCCGGGCACGCCGAGGCCCATATAAGCAGCCTCCTCACGAGGTTCGATGCTGCCCGTATCAAGAATGAAGATGCATCGTGAAGACGCCAAGAAGAGTCAAGCCTCCAGTCAGCGGACCTGCCAGTATCCCACCTGGCTGGGTCACGCTAGAGTATCTGAGAGTTAGAGAAGTGTGTGTTAGCTAGAGTAGGTCGGTGGTTACCATCCTATGTGTAATGTAAGAGTTAACTGTTGTGTTCAGTAATAAATGAGTGTTGCCTCCCAATAAGTTATGTGTGCCTAGATTCGAACCCACTATACATGCACCCACGTAGGGTCTCGTGGGGGGTCACCTGGCACCCTGGGTTTTTACCCGAGGGCCCCCTCGTGGGGACGTCCCACGGTTTCCCATTGCCAGGAGATTGGCCGACCCCCACCCCCCCAGGCCGAATTGCACTGCGGCCACGTGAATTAGCTTAACATTGCATGGTCACGACGAGCTCACCGAGCAAGCAGCAGTGAGAACACAACCAGCACAGGGCAATAAGGCCTTGGGGGAGCAAAGATCCCAGCGAGCGACGTGCGAGAGCAGGTGGGAGGGAAATTCCTGAACTGACTAGAAAGGCAAAGGGAGCTGGGCAGCAGCGAGTGATAGCACAAGGAGTTGGACGGGCGTGTAGACAGTGGGTTAGGGAGCAAAGGGAGAGCCAAACGCCAGGTAGGGGCAGGGCATCTGTTGAAAATCGAAAGGTAGGCGCCCCGGTTGGCCAAGCAGGGAATAGAACGTGATCCTGGATTTTTTTAATTCGGAGGGGATGAAGGGAGGGAGGGGAAAAACGTTAGTCAGTTCTCCTCCAGTCGGCCAGCTACCCAGTCGGAGTCGCAGCCGCTCGGAGCGTCCGAGAGATGCTGGCGAGTGCAGCTACAACTCGACCCAGACAGGGACCATGTGACATCGTGAGTACGTCTGCGAGGTGAGAAGTAGTGTAAGGGTCCACCTAGGGATTGAATAGGAATAGATTGGGCGCTGCTCGCTGAGGATTTTGCTCTGGGCCACGCAGGGTTTTTCGTCAGGTGCACCATTAATAAACTTTAGCACAGAGCACCGACGCTGCGTGGTTTCTGTGTGTGTGGGAGGATGTCGGCGTGGTGCGTAATTCGAGCGTGTGTGCGAGTGAGGCTGTGCGGCGTAGTAACTCGTGCAGCAGCCGCGCTATTTTTAGCGCGAGCAGTGCCGAGCAACCTGCGCCGCGTCGGCATTAGTGGTGGTGTTCATACGTCTATTTTTAGCGCGAGGCGTAGTTAGCAGCATGCATCTGCACGGGCACGCACGTGCAAGAGGCCACTTCGGCATTAGTGGTGGTGTACGTGGGGAGTGTGTTGGAATAACCCGAGGCGGTGGGGAGCCAGCCACTAGCCACGTCTCACAGAGAGGACGCTGGTGCGGGGAGGCCGATCACTCGATCGGCGGTAGCCCGGCGAGAAGGGGCGGAGGAGGAGGGGGGAGAGGAGGGGGGGGCGTCAGCCCCCACACATGGTTTAACCAACTCCTCTTCACAGCTTTTGTCAAATATCACGTTCTGTTGGATCCAACCAGCGTTTCATGTTCTGCAGGCCCACTGCCCAATCGTAGTTCTGCAGGTCCTGGAGAGCCAATCCACATTGACTGAGATTCGGGAATGTAGAATTATCTTCATGATCAGGAGCGCCCTGTTGTCGAGGGAGAGGGGTACGTCTTCCCATGCTGCCAGAGAAGGCAACAATCTCTTGAACCAGGTGGGGGGATATTAAAAAAAGCGATGCCAATGAGGAGACGACCGTAACGCCATGATATTTTATATGGAACGGAGACCATTTAAAGACAACAAGGCCTCCCAACGCTCCCCCACACTCCCTCACCAGGGCCAGAATAGCTGGGATTGAGACTTCCGGTCTTGTGAATATGATAAGAACATTATACACGTGAAGATTAATTTTGTGTTCGACCGCGCCGAAACGTACTCCCGAGATATGCTGGCTTCTCCTCCATAGCCAGGGTAAAAAGGAAAGGTGATTCTGCCGAGTGCAAAGGGACGTGACTCACCCACTCACTCATCCACTCGCCCAACTACTCGCTCACAGACTCACTCACACTCACTGGAAAACTCACTTATCCGCTGACTTATCTACTCACAAACTCACTCACCGACTCACCCATACTCATCTACTCGCTCATCCACTCACATTGTTGTATATTATTTGGTTTATGTTTCCTAAGATTTGTGATTTAACATTGTCATCATCACGTATTTTTATAGGGTTTATTAATTTCAGCTCCCCGTCTGTATCCGGGGATCGGTGCTGTCATGCTTGAGTTTTTTTTTACGTCCTGAGTTTTAGAGGTAAGTTTCTTGACTGTTGGAATTCATATTCCTTGGTTTTTGTAAGGTCACGTAAACGGCAAGATGTATTATAATTTAAGGTGAATAACGTTAGTATTAATATTATGTAAGATAAATAATAACCCGCTATGTAGATTGTAGTCTGTTTTTTTTATCGTAGCGAGTGTGTAGATTTCTATAATGTCGGCTTATTCTTGTTGCTGAGTTTTTCTTGGACTTCTGTTAATTTATATAACCAAAACTTGTCTGTTCGTTTCCCGCCTGATGTGTGTGTGTGTGTTTGTTCTATTTTATTGTGGTGATGAGATGTCTCCTCAAGGCCTGGCCCCTTCCTTCGCGGTCGGGTGTCGCCTTTGTCTATCTCGGTGGAAGTTGTGGTCTCTCCCTTTGCAGTTTTATTGCTACCCCATGTGGCTAGGAGACAAGGCGGCCGGTGGGCTTCCTCTATGGAATCCTTTTCTCTCGGTCACGTGATCAGCCCATCTCGCTCTGTGTCCCTTGGGTGACCCTTGGCTTAACTCTAATAATCATTTTTTAAATTTTGATTCAAAGCTTTCGTGACTGCAGGGATTCATATTCTTGGTTCTTTCGGTAAAGTCACGTAGATGGCAAGCGATAATAGAATGTAAGGTCAATGACATTAGTATTAATATTACATGTATGAGAAGTGATAACCTACTAGGGAGATTATAGTCTGGTGTTGTTTTTTATCTTAGTGAGTGTGTGGATTCTCTATGATGTCGACTCATTTGTTGCCAAGTTCTGAACTTTAACCATTGTATTAATAGCAACGAAAGGGAAAATTATTTTAGAATTCACCTGTGAGTGGCGCCTGATTGTCTGTGCTCTGAAAAAGGGGGTATTTGAAGTCCTGTAGAATTCCCCTCGAGTTTCATTAGTAATTTCCACCCCTTTTCCTCTTTGTTTTGGGTTTTATTACTTTTTATGGCCGATCTCCGGCGGCCTGTTGTGTGTGAAATGGCGGCTTCTGTGAGGGGAGGGGTTTGTTCACCTCACCCCCTCTGGTCTCCAAGCGACACCACGAGAAAAAAATTGGCAACTCATTGTTAATAATAAAAAAATGCAAAAAGGCTTATATATAACAACAACATCCACTCACTTGCCCATTCACTATCCCACTCAATCATACAGAAACTCACCCACTCACAGACTCACTCGGTCATCAACTGACTCAAAAACCCACACCTATTCACTCACCCGACTCATCCACTGCCTCATACACCCAATTACACGCACCAACTCACAAAATTCCTCACTCCCAGAATGGCTGACACTCATTCCCTCGCTCACCCACGCACTCTTCCATTCAATCACCCACTCAAACTTCCTCAGACTCACTTATCCACTCGCCCACTTACCCATGCATGCACAGATCCACCCACTCCATTATCTACTCACTCATCCAACTCACTCACAGACTTACACCAAGAATCACTAACAGACTCAGAAGCTCACCCTCTCACTTACTCCCTCAGCTCATTAGCACCCAATCACTCAACTACTAACGTATCCACTCGCTTACCCACTCACCAACCCAATCACTCACGTAATCAATCACTTAGCCACTCACTCACTAATTGGGTTGGCGTAATTAAGGGTTGGTGTTTAAGGGTTGGCATTTCAGGATTGCTGTTTCATTGTCGGTGTTTAAGGGTGTTGCCGTTGAATGGTTGACGTTTAAGGGTTGGCGTTTAAAGGGTTGGTGTTTTATGGTTGGCATTTATGGGTTGGTGTTTAACGTGTCGTAACCCTCCACCACCCAACACGGCCAAATCAGCAAAAAAATGTGTCACGTTGACAAAAGACAAATAGTTCACTACTTTAGCCCACCGGTGTGTTGAAGAGTGAATTCACAACATTTACATTTGTTGAGTATACCGTTTCGCTGGTAATTACATCCAGCATCATCGGGCAATTCGCCAGAATGGTGAAGCCCTCACTTGCTCCCGGTTTTAAATAGAGCAGCAGGAGGGTGACGTCATCATTTAACTCATTCAGGTGCAAGGATTTGAGGCGGGAGGGGGGGGGATATTGTAAGTATATAATAGATTGGTAATCAGTCAATTGTTATGATTATTAATGAGTTGTAGATTAGTAATTAGTTGTAATGTGTGTTATTGTAATTATATGCTACGGTTGTAATCAGTTAATTAGTATGCGTTTCCCTTATAAGGAATTGTAATATGTATTATTTAATAATTCGCTTCCAGGCCGCACTAAGCCTGTAGCTGTCAGAGTGATTAAAGATATTTATATTTCTCTCAATTTCAATAGATTCTCTAATTAGTATTTGCCAGTAATAATACGTTTTACACAGCACTTCAACGTTATCAAAATCAATTGAGTGTCCTTGTTGGCAAGCATGTTCTGCCACTGCCGACAGTTGTGTTTGAGATACTTGAATATTTCTTTGGTGTTCTTTTAGTCTTACGCTGATGTTATGTCCCGTCTGTCCAATATAGCATCTTCCACATAAACAATTAATCCGATATACACCTTCTGTTGATAAATTAGGTAATTCGTCTTTAGTGCAAGATACAAGTTTTTATTTTATTTTGTGTACTGTACCAAATCTTACTGTAATGTTTTCTTTTTGAAAAATACGGGCTAATTTGTCAGTTACTCCTGAGATATATGGTTTTTTAATTGTTTTAACAATCTGATCGCTTTCAGCAGTGTTACTTTGCGATCGTGATTTGGAATTTAGTGCTCTGTTAATTTGAGCATTATTGTAGCCATTTTGTCATAGTGCTTCTTTAACGTGTTTAATCTATCTCACTAGACTTTCACCATCTCACACTGTTTTAGCCCGATGTATGAGCGTCTTGATAAGAGAATTTCTGAGCTGGGTGAATCTGCATTCAGATAAGCATCAGTGTGCGTTTGCTTTCTGTAAATGCTGTATTATTTTACCATTTAGGCCATGTCCAAGCAAAATTTCTAGGAACGGGAGTGTGTTATACACCTACATTTCCATGGTGAACTGGATGGCCAGGTTTTGTGCATTGAGATGATTTAGAAAATCATTAAGTGTATCTTTACCATGCGCCCAGACACATATCTAAACCAAAAGGATGGTTTTAATGTGCTCGAGGCAAGTGCTCTTGTTTCAAAGGTTTCCACGCACAGATTTGCCATAGCAGGAGATAAAGGAGAGCCCATTGCTGCTCCTTCCTTTTGATTAAATAAATCACCTCTCCATAATAAGTGTTATTTAAACAATGGTCAGTGAGTTTCGGAATATATTTTGGTAAACCTGTATTCTTTGCTAGTGTATCAAGTAAT